TGACACATCAAACAGATTTAAGTGTAAAATTTGCAAATCCAGTCCACCAAATATTAGGTCAGCTTCAAGACTATAAGAAACAGGTTTGAATAGATTTTTATATGTAATCCACAGGATTCAAATTTCTGGTTACCATGTAATTTATTTTACCTGCAAAAACATACAATTATATACCACTCTGCACTAAAGACATATAAATATAATCCAGCTGTTTTTATTTAACGAAGACTTTACAGTACTGAAGTACAATCAGCAAACGCAGACAGGAAGTCTGCTGATCTGGTGAATTTCTCGAATCAATCTAACCTTCTTGTCTTGGTTGTCAAATGAATCTGATTTTGCCCAGAACTCTTAAAAAGGTACATTGTCTTTTGCTGCAACCTAAAAACTACCTAAAAAATTAAACCACATCTATTTTAAAAGGATTCTGCTTTATAAGAAAAACATGCTTTAGGGGTATACAAATTTAGTTTATTGTTCTTCAAAACATTAATCATTCAAACTAAGTTGGCAATTGTAATTTAATTTCACCAGTCTATTAAAGTATTTTTATATCTACACAAGCACAGGATTCACTTTGTAACAGTGATGCTTATTTGCATGCCAATATAAGATGCATGATCAGATTAAAACCAGAGCTATGAATCAATAGTTAGAAGGCTATTTCTGTAAAACTTCATCAAAACCAGCTTGTTTGAGTTCAATTCAAACCATTACCAGTCTCAGAATTTCAAAATGATACAGTAGATGTATGGCGAGCCATGATTCAAAGTATTTTTTAGAATCCACGAAGATTACAATTCAGTGCATAAAGACTACAAATGAATAAGCAATGCATTATATGTGGTGCACAACTCATTAATGTCATAAGGAACTTCCTGATTCCCTGCAGCTGAAAAAATATATTATAAATTACAGCATTCAGAGAACTGTTAAGAGTATTTCTAGAAGTAATTATTCTTCTTCAGAAGCAACAGTTCCTGTAACCACTCTTCTGGAGTGTCAGAACTGATGAACAGTTGCTGGTTCCTGGCAACTGGCGATCCATATAAATCTGCCGGTGATGAGGTTGGGGAATTATCCTTGGGGTGAGGTAAATAGGGATGGGGGGATAAGCTGGTTCCAAGGTGTGCTTGACAAATGGAATATTGGAATCAGATCAATCCTTCGTAGTGATCCTCAGTCAGGCAGCTCCGCAATACTCTAAGACACAATTGAAGACAGACCAGTCAGCCAGGCTTGTTGAAGGACTTGAAAAGATAGATTAATCTCTGCGGGCAAGGATTCTTCTCACTTGACTCATTAAGCGTTCTGGGATGCTACCCCTAGTGAAATGTGCTATAAATTTGTTGTTGTCAACCCTGCACGCCAAAACCCGAATGGGTAGGGTGGTCCTGGATGGACAAGCAGGAGGACGCTTGCCAGACAGCGCTCTCAATGGCAAGCTATGCATTATTTTGCTGTTAAACCAGCAGAACCAACTGACCAAAGCAAAAATGAGGTTTGAGTGTATATAGTCAGATTAATAGCTGTGGAAAAAAAGAACAAGCATGCAATCAAATCCACCATCAGCTAATTTTGTTACAAATAACAATAAGATTCCATTTATAGAGCGCCTTTCACGTTGGGAGGACGTCCCAAGGCGCTGTACAGTTGGGTCAGGACCCGAGCAGGGGGGAAATGGTCAGGGTGAGGGGAGGGAAGGGAGGGAGCGAGGAGAGTCGAGAGGGGAGCTGAAGGCACGGTCAAAGAGAAAGGTCTTGAGACCGGCCTTGAAGGAGGAAAGGGAGGAGGCAAGGTGAAGGCACTGGGGGATACAGTTCCAGAGCCTAGGGGCTGAGAGGCTGAAGGCCCGGCCACCGATGGTAGGGCGGTTGGGGCGGGGGATGTGGAGCAGACCGGAGCCAGAGGAATGGAGGGTACGGGCAGGTAGATAGGGGGATAGTAGGTCAGAGAGGTAGGTAGATAGGGGATAGTAGGTCAGAGAGGTAGGAGGGAGAAAGGCCGTGAATGGCCTTGTAGGTGAGGATTAGGATCTTGAATTCGATCCTCTGGGGAATGGGGAGCCAGTGAAGGCGAGCGAGGGTGGGAGTGATGTGGTCGCGAAGCCTGGTGTGGGACAGTACACGAGCTGCAGTAGTAGTAGTAGTAGACAGGCTAATGACAAGCTGATTTTGTGTTACTTTATTGCTTTAGCACCTTCAAAAAGACTTTACAACTTTGTGTAGGTTATGGTCTATTTTATAAATCATGTTTTGCTTGACAAGATATAAATCTACTTTGCCTTGCACCTTAAAACATTATTTGTTTTTTTGCAATGGTTGTTGAGAGCAAATTAAATTTTTAACCAAAAAAACTAGATTGTTTGATTATATTAAATGATAACTTAGTGGCACAAAATATGACTTGTACATCAATTTTAATTTGTAATAGGTGAGTGAAGTATTCACAGAACAAATTTCTGCAGCTTTCTTTAGTTAAATATCTGGTTTACAATACATCTTACATTAGGTATCGTTTAGGACTAAACCAGTTATTTTTATGTAGTAATCTCCAATTCCATTATTGTTTTCAAATTAGCTAAATTAAATCATTTAATTGAAAAACATTTTAATGGATTTTGATATTAAAATAGTACAACAAATAGATGGAAAATTAACATCAGATGCAATATTTGTTATAGAATAATTAAAGGTTTATTTTAAAAAATCAAAATGTAGTATTGCTGTCTGAACCAATATCTCAGATTTGGAAGGAAACCTGAAGGGGACTTCTCCACTTACATGTCACAAAACCACAAGAACCTCAGCTACCACCTTGTTGATTCATACAAGAAAGGGAACTTCAAACTACACATAGATTACTAAACAAATGTCATTCCATTCTCTGTGTTCACTGTGTCAAAGAATGGCTCGAGACCCTCCTCTTCGGCTGCGCATTTGGCCACCCTCCTACCTCTACCCTCTCTGCCCTCCACCCCCCTTGGTCCCAATTCCTGCTCGAGTCCAAATCACTGACTGTCCAGTGCCTTGGGACATGCTCCTGATGTGAAAGGCGCTTTACAAATGTAATTTGTTGTTGTTAAAACAACTTTTAGTTTCAGAGCAGTATTCGCAAAATAAAGCGCATAAGAAGACAACTTATACAAATAAGTGTTTCCTGAACATAATTTATGTTGTGTCATGCGAGTATATCTCATGCACTGTTCAACATTAGATGTTTTTAAAAACCTGCAACATTACATTGAATTGTAAAATTCAATAACTCAAAATTTTTTTGTCTAATCTACTATTTAAAACATATGCTGATAAACAGAATAAATAACCAACAGGACAATTAAAAACTCTCGCTATTGTAATTCTAAAACTAAGATGAGTTAATGTTCTCTCACATTTAGTGAGGTGAACGTCAACACCAACATACTCTTTTATATACTTGTGTATCTATATTAGGATTTACTGTCATTTCACTGTTAGACAAGTATAAATTCTGGCCTTATCAATGAAAATTGACGCTTTAGCATTAATTATAGTAATAGTGGAATATCATTGTAATGGATTTAAAGCAGCAGACAATATTATAGTGGAGGTAAATGTTAGCATACTTATTTTTATAAGAAATAGAATAATTTCAATGGGTTTATCACTATATCTTCAAATATAGTAAATTAACTTAAAGTAATTAACCTAATATACATATTTTAGTCTGCCTTCCAATTTTATAATAACCCAATAGTGAAATCCTTGTTAACTGTGTACAAACATTACAAGACAAATTAATACTTATTTACAAACATGTCTCCTTTGTTTAGATACATTGGTGATTACAGTATTATTTGAAAAATCAGTGGCCGTTTCAATAATGTTCATCCTTAAGTTGTGTTATAGAAAAATGACAATTGAACAGTTGTGCAAAACATATCTTTCCAGTATTTTATTAAAACTTTTAAACGTAGAACAAAATATTTCTGTTAATTGTTAATACATACAATCAAGTGGACCATCAGGTATTATTTAGCCACCTGAGTCTTATTCACCTATCTGTCAACTCTAAGTTCTGGCATACCAATGCAAATTGAGGTCTGCAGAAAAAAAAAGTCCACCTTCTCAATTATTCACAGGCAAAAGAAAAATAATCCAGAGCGTGGAATGCAATCGTAAATATTCCCCTATATATATATATATATATATAAAAACGTATTCAACACCAAGCAACACAACCACCAGAAGGGGCAGACCTACAAAAAACAATATGTGGCGAGTCCCCCAGAACATATGCCGTGTTATTTATTCTCGGACTTAAGGTAGGACTGTAGTGCCACCACGGTGCCAAGATGTATGCAGCGCACTGTAATCGGCTTAAAAAAAAATGACAAGACCCGCAAACGCTGCGACTCCGTGTACTTGTAACCTGACAGCATTGGCTCTCGATCTCGGGAGACTGAGTCCAACATAACGTTGCAGCACGGGATGCCTCAGACATTTAAACACCTCGCTCGCAATCCGCCTCTTCCAATCTCAGCGGTTATCGCAGCGCATCTGAAAGTGCAGAAAAGTAATGCCAACCAACCAAAGAATAGGAAAAAAAAATCGCATCGAAAATTAAAGCAGCTCGAAAAAAAAACACCCCCCCCACCCCCCCCCCCCGCACACGCACACACCGCACCCCACCCGCACCGCACAGAGAGGCACACACAGAGCAATGACAAGCAGCTGATGATGAGTCCTGATAAGGTCAGAGCCGGTCTTCTCGACGCGAGGGAATCCCAGAGCCGAGTACACACACACACACACACACACATACACACACAAAAAAAAGGACTGACAGGAAGAAGCTGGTGCTGGTGGTGGAGACCCCCACGTCTTGAACTGAGACGCACACAGTAAAGCCGTGTTTCTCCCCCTCCTCTCTGTGTGCGTGTGTGCAGGGGAGGGGTGGGTGGGTGGTGGTTGGGGAGGGGGGGGGGGGAGAGGTTGTTGCCTATTTAATTACCGACTCACCGACAGCTCCCTGTTGGACGGCTCCCTGTACGAGACGGCCCTGATCACTCCGGCTCGCCACCGCCATTCACCGATTCCCGACACGTCCAGCTCCGGGCCGCCGCCGCCGCCGCCGCCGTCACCCACGCACACGAACCTCTTGCCGACCAGCTCCACTCGCGTCGGACCCATCGCCATCGTCTGCCTCCCCCGCTGGCCCACCCCGACGGAGCCTCACCGAGCTGACATGGTAGCTGGCGGGGAGGGGGAGGTGGGGGGGGGGGGGCGGTGGGACGGGGACGAAACCCGGCGCAAGGCAAACCCGCACGAACACAAGCGAGGCTTGAGGAGGGGGTGGGGGTTGGGGGGTCTATCGGACGTATGGTTGGTGACTGGGACTTTCTTTTTTCAAATAAAAACGGTTGAAACCGCCTTTCCCGCCCGACTGCGGCTGCTCCCCCGCCGCGCACCGCCCGCCCGCCCGCCCCGGTGGGCTCTCTCGCGCTCTCTCTCTCTCTCTCTCCCTCGCGCTCTCTCTCTCCCTCTCTCCGCCTCTCGCCCGCAACCGACATCCAGTTCGCGCGAGTCGCGTATCCCTCCGCCGCAGAGGAAAAAAAGGGGGGCAAAAAGCGGGACGAACCGCCCGCCCGTCTCCCTCCGCTTCTCCCGGCGGCCGCGCGATTCCCACTCCAACCAGACGCCAAGTAGTGCCCAGTCCTCCGCGCCGCACCGCACCGCAGCTAAAGCACTGCGCCGGGCGCTCCGCTCAGCTCAGCGCTGACTGACTGACTGACTGACTGACAGCCGCGGAGCAACGAGCCGCTCGTGTCATTGAGACGTGGCTTTGGCCATTGTCTGGAGCTGCGCCTCTCTCTCTCCAGTCCACAGCATCGGCAGCAATCACCTCCTCCCCTCCCATCCATCCATCCACTGACTACATATGGAGAGCATTTGCTGGTACTGTATGTCAGGCACATCCACGGTCGTGTGCAGTTTCCCGCATGAGGCTGCGGGGTTTTTTTTATCTGTGCTCTCCGTGTCGCAAGTCCTGATTGCGGTTTCGTCGGTGCGTCATCTACCTTTTAACTCCAGATGTTCGTGCAGATCGTGTCTGCCATTTAAATCTAAACGCACACACACACACACATATATATGTATGTACACACACATATGTATACATATAGAAATAAAAAAAGATTGGTGAGATTCTATCCGAACTGTTGCATTTACTGTTGCAATGATTGAATTGGAATGCGTGTGTCTTTTTTTTCTGTGAGTTGGAAGGGAATTTCCCTCCCCCCCCTCTTCCCCTCTTCCTTCCCTCCCCCCTCCTCCTCCTCCCCTTCCCAAGCTGAGGTCATGTCATTAACGATTGCACTCAGTCTCAGCAGCTCACCGCTGTGCCAAGACATTCCTCAGATGAAAGATTATTCCGCCTTTCCCCATTTTGGCCCGCCGCTGGGGTACTTATTCGTGCGCAGCGCGCAATGCATTTTCCACTTAAAAGTGCACTGACATCCGAAACCCAACAATCCCCCCAAAAAATAATTTCCAGGGGGGGGAATGAAGCAGAGGGCGGCAGCGCAGGGAAAGACGCTCCCACGAAATTGGAACTTTACCACCGAAATCCTCACTGCAGCTCTCAACGCCACACAGTGAACCCCCAACAACAGATCCCGTTGCATTCATTCCGATCAGGTTGACGTTGCATATTTCGGCAAAAGTCAATGACTTCCGAGTGCAGGATTGAATTGACCGTGAATGGAACTTTCTGTCACACAGCTTTCCACAAATTCCAAAAATAAACAGAAAATCATACGAATGGCTATATTTTACTTTTAAAAATAACCACGAGGTCTTCCATGCAGCAATTATCTCAAAAAACCCAAAAAAAACCATATCTTTATTGTTGGGTAATCTGGCTTAACAAAACATACTTTGCTTACATGTGGAAAATATAAATATTTATATGTTCACCGAGAAAAATGTTTACATTGTTTCACCTTTCGGATTGTTTTTTTTTGCGATTTAATTCCTTACTTACCATACTTCAGGTTTACCTTTTTATTCAGTCGTGCTACCTCTCTCCAACTTTATTGAAATCCACAATGAAAAAGCTGCATGTATTGATGTAAATTGTAATATTCTTCATTCATATTGTGTGCGAACTGATGCCAAGAAACATGCTAGTAGACAATAATTGACCTTTGAGTTTCCAATTCAAATTAACCAAGTATTACATTTTGATAAAGTATTTATTCACAATACTAAATGTCCTGATTCAACTCTATGCACTATAGGTATTTTGCATAGATGAAAGCTAGTCATGAGGCCCTCCTGATTGACTCCAGTCAGCGCCTCCACACAGCTGCTGACAGCATCACCATCCAAGGATGCACACTCCTCACTGAGCCAGTTTAGTACCTTGGCATCTTGTTTGACCCTCAACTATCCTTTCTACCCCACATCCATGCCATGATCCGCTTACCTTCCCCCACCATCTGCAACATCACCTGGTTCTGCCATTGCCTCACACCACAGGCCACCGAACCCCTCATACACACATTCATAACATCCAGGCTTGACTATGCAAACTCCCTGCTTGTCGGTTCCCAACTCTTCTCTCCATAGGCTACAGATCATCCAGTGGAGTCCTGTAGCTCAGTGGTTAGAGCACTCGCTTTGCAAGTGAGAGACCTGAGTTCAATTCCAGACAGGGCGAAACCTTGGGCAAGTTTCCTTACTCCACACGCCTAATAATAATCCCTCCAAAACCAAAAACAATAATAAATTGGTCATTTTCAATCTACGATTGTTTGTGGGACATTGCTGTGCGCAATTAGCTGCTGCGTTCGCCCACAAATATATACAGTCAATTCACTTTACAGTGTGTTCTGTGAAGCGCTTTGGGACGTCCTCCTGACGTGAAAAGCGCTATATCAAATGCAAGGATTATTATTATTATTGTTATTATTATAACTCTGCCAGACTCCACTGGCTTCCCATCACACAGAGGATACAGTTCAAGATCCTGGTCCTCAGCTTCAAAGCCCTCCATAGCTTCGCTCCACCCTACCTCTGCAACCTCCTAACTCCCTACATCCTTCCTGCTCCCTCTCCTCAGTGGGTTCCAGCCTGCTTCACATCCCCTGCCTCACCTTCTGCCACTCTGTCCCCACCCTCTGGAATTCCATGCCGCAATCCCACTACTTCACCCCCTCCCTTTCCTCCTTCAAGACCCATCTCAAGTCCCTCCTCTTCGACCGTGCTTTCGATTACCCTCCTTCTCTCCCTGCCCTCCACCTTCCCCAATCCCAACCCCCAACTTGGGTTCAAAACGCTGACTGTCCAGCACCTTGGAACATCCTTCCGATGTGAAAGGCGCTTTACAAATGTAATTTTCTTGTTGTTGTTTGAATATAAATCTTGGTAAAACAAAATATTGCTAGATTTTTTTACCAGAAAATAATGCCTAGAGCAACATAGATCACAAACTTGATCACTCATAAGGCGTTGTGTTGATATTTTTAAGAGATATGGACATCAAATAGGGACATGCAGAAGGCCAGAGCTAGTCGAGCAGAGGCTGCACGGCATGCACGATTTGAAAACAAAGCATGAAGATCTTGAAATCAATCCATTCGGTGATCCGGAGCCAGCGGACCCTGGCCAGAACTGGTGTGATGGGGGGGGGGTCCTAAAACAACAACTTGCACTTGTAGAGCGCCCTTCACGGGGGTCGGGTCTCGGAGCGCTAACAAGTGACGCTTACGGATACAGGGAGATTATTCTTTTACACCACGATTCTCTTGCCTTGTTTCAACGCGGCCACACTTAGGGCAAACATGTGAGTGAGTGGTGGGTGGGTGAGTGAGTGAGTGAGTGGTGGGTGGGTGAGTGAGTGGTGATTGAGTGGTTGGTTGGTGGGTGAGTGAGTGGTTGGTGGGTGAGTGAGTGAGTGAGTGGTGAGTGAGTGGTTGGTTGGTGGGTGAGTGAGTGAGTGAGGGAGTGAATGGTGGGTGGGTGAGTGAGTGGTGAGTGAGTGGTTGGTTGGTTGTTCGGTTGGTGAGTGAGTGGTTGGTTGGTGAGTGAGTGGTTGGTTGGTGAGTGAGTGGTGAGTGAGTGGTTGGTGGGTGGGTGAGTGAGTGGTTGGTGGGTGAGTGAGTGAGTGGTGAGTGAGTGGTTGGTGGGTGGGTGAGTGAGTGAGTTGGTGAGTGAGTGGTGGTGGGTGGTGGTGGGTGAGTGAGTGAGTGGTGAGTGAGTGGTGGGTGGGTGAGTGAGTGAGTGGTTGGTGGGTGAGTGAGTAGTGAGTGAGTGAGTGAGTGGTGGGTGGGTGAGTGAGTGAGTGAGTGAGTGGTTGGTGGGTGAGTGAGTGAGTGAGTGAGTGGTGGGTGGGTGAGTGAGTGAGTGAGTGAGTGGTTGGTGGGTGGGTGAGTGAGTGGTTGGTTGGTGAGTGAGTGAGTGGTGGGTGGGTGAGTGGTGAGTGAGTGAGTGGTTGGTGGGTGAGTAGTGAGTGAGTGAGTGAGTTGGTGGGTGGGTGAGTGAGGGTCGATACGAGTCGCTGCAATGTGGGGATCGCACGTAACACAATGCACGAGTGATTGACAGCTCCCGGCGGCCAGTCGTGGAGCAGAACGCCAGGGGTATTGTTACAAATATCAGACGTGACCAATGGGAGGCTTCGGGGGCGGGACTCGGGGAGACGTCAGAGAGGAGCTGCGAGGATCAAAGGGTCGGTCAGGAGCGGAGCGGAGATCAACCTGCGCTGAGCCGCCCGGACCCGCCCGGACCCGCCCGCCCCGCTCTGCGACTTCCTACACGGGCAGAGGAGCGGGAGCTTTCCTTCCCGGTCGGGCCCAGGAGAGGAGAAATATGGTGTCGTCGATTATCTCCCGGACTGTAGTGTGAGTGTGGTCGCGATCCGGGCCGAACCGGGGAGGGTGGGGAGTGCTGCTGCTGCTGCTGGTGGTGGTGCTGGTGATGGTGGTGGGGTGGGTGGGGGTGAGGTGGGTGGGTGGGTGGGGGTGAGGTGGGTGAGAAGTTCTTATCTGGTCCTACGTTGCTTTATTATATGTCGACAGAAAAAAAAAAGGGGGTCTTCCCCACTGGGGTGAGGTGTGTGTGTGGTGCGAACACTTTGACTTGACCTGCGCTGGGGGTGGGGTGTGGGTGGGGTGTGTGGGGGGGTGTGGGTGGGGGGTGTGGGTGGGGTGGGGGGGGGAGACAGCGCTTTCTTTTTGCAGATGAGTCCCC